AAAATAAAAAGTAGGAGGTATTGTCACAGGCATCTTGGATATATATTGAGAAACTTTCATTCACTGAAATAACATTAAGTATGTGTGTAAAGTAAAGATTGTGAATTCAATTCTGGATATTCTCAAATTAGAGGTCCCAATGTGACTTAAAAGTAAATGCCCAACAAGCAATAAGAGGTATCTGGGTCAAAATAAAAGATTTAAAAGTATCCCATTTAAAGACAGCAAGTGAAATCCAGTAGTAAGAATCAAGCTGTCCATGAAGAAATGTTCAGAATGTAACAAAGGACAAAGGCACAATCAAATAGGGTATCAAGAGGGTAAAAGGTGTCTCAAGGTAAGTAAAGATTTTTTGGGGGTGGTCAACAATGTCAAACATAAGTGAGATCAAGAACAATGAAACTAAAGCCAACAAACTTTAAGTTAGATTCACTAATACAATGTTAGTGTCAGAATCTAAATTGTAAAGGGTAAAAGGGTTATTTACTTTAAAAGCACATTATTTGTTTTAAAGTGTACTTATTTTTAAAGGCAGGCTATTATGTATATTTTTTCTTTAAGTTGGGCAGCAAAACTGTAGCTGTTTGGATATACAAAATGTTATAGAAATCATATATAAAATCATATGTAACGCTGCACATGTATTATGTATATTACATATGTTTTATGTATACATGTATTATGTATATTACATATGTTTTATGTATACATGTAAATTTATACATAACAATTTTAGGATTCATAGAATTTAAGAGGTTTAAGAATACCTGCTCATTTTGAAGAGAATATCAAAGGACAAGGAAAAAGTACATTTAAAAATATATATAAAGCTCTACTACGTGCCAGATACTATGCTGGGTGCTGGACACACACAAGAAAATTAGGATACTCTTGTTTAAGAAACATACTATAGTGTTATTAACTGACACATTTCACCTTAAGGATTTCAAATATTATTGTGTTTATGCTACATAAAGCCCTCAGAACAGGGTTTGATAGATCATAAGTATTTGCTGTTAAAACTCATTTAAAGCTCTGGTTATGTCAAGTCATGTTCCTGGGCTGGGGTTGTGGCTCAGCGGTAGAGCGCTCATCTAGCACATGGGTTCTGGGTTCCATCCTCAGCACCACATAAGAATTAAAAAATTAAAAAAAGTTATTGTGTCCAACTACAACTAAAAAATAAATATTTTTTTAAAAAAGTTGTTTCCTAAAACATACAGGATGTGAACTTTGTGTCTTTAAAAAGTGTGTCATGTTTTCTTTTTGTAAAAATCCCAGCCATGGCCTAGGCAGGTAGTTCAGTGGTAGAGCACTGAGTACATGCAAGGCCCTGGGTTCCACCTCCAATAMAAAAATGGGGATGAATATACACAGAATAACTACTTCTCTGGTCTTCACTTCATTTCTTCTTCTTTTTTTTTTTAATTTAATCTTTATTTTATTTATTTGTTTTTATATGGTGCTAGGGATAAAAACCAGGGCCCTACACATGCAAGGCAAATACTCTACCACTGAGCTACAATCCTGGCCCCTCACCTCACTTTTGATGCTAAAATCTCATAGGTGTTAGCATAATTAGACAATTATATCACGTTCACTAATTCACTGAATATCAGATTTGGTTTATGTAGGCAAATAAAAATAGAAATTATAGTACTCCAGGTTACATACTTCATTGAGACATCTGTGCTCTAAATATAAAAGTTAAACATGGATATTTAGTATATTTAATCATCTAACAAAAAGTTTCTTTACATACTCTATACATATCCAGAACATACCATTTTTTCTTCATAGGTTGGATCTGGTTCTTGAATTTCTTTTTGCTTTCCAGGAGACGCATCATCAAATACTTCCTAACAGAAAGGAAAAATCATGGAATTGTTCTTCAGAATAGTCAATTCACCATTATACACTGATTTCAGCCCAAAGCACATTTCAAATAATATACTCCTTACCAAACTCCCTACACACTTAAATGGCTGTCATCTAACCTGAGAGGAAACCTGATAAGGATAAAATAAAATACTATGGGGATAATAATCTGTTTAACCCAATTTTGTAAGCTGTCTGGCTGCTGCCAAGATTGAAACAAAATATTACCATCAACATCATCCTCAAATAAAATTACTTATCAATGCAAGTTATATAGGCAAATCTACACTCCTTTTTTTATATTTTAGTTGTAGATGAACACAATACCTTTATTCATTCATTTTTATGTGGTACTGGGGGTTGAACCTTGCTAGATGCCTCACACATGCTAGGCATGCCCTCTACCACTGAGCCACAATCTCAGCCCTATACCTCTTTTTTCTAATAAAATTATGAAACCAAATTAAAATAGTATAAAACATGAAAAGAGTTCCCCTTTTATCATAAAATTGCATCTATCTAACTGTGCTTTTACACAAATGTACACATGGAAGGGTAGTCACTCTAATTTCCATCATCTGGAATATTACAAAAAAGGTATCCTGAAGCCTAATTTGAATACTCTTAACTACAGTGTGATTACTAACTTAGTATTAAATGTTATCCTTACAAATGATTATCCTAGCATTCAAATGCCACAAAAAAATTTAGCACCAATTTTTACACTACAAAGTTCCATGCAATTGAGCTGGGGTTGTGGCTCAGTGGTAGAGTGCTTTGCCTAGTGTGTGTGAGGCACTGGGTTGGATTCTCAGCACCATATATCAATAAATAAAATAAAGGTCCATTGACAACTAATACACACACACACACACACACACACACACACACATATTTTTTTCAAGTTCCACTCAACCATTTAAAAAAAGTTAGCAGCTGGTAAAAGCATACTTTTTATTAATAATGTCCAAATCTGTGCATGTCAATACATACTATTATAAAGTTATAAATGATCACAAAGTATAGGAGACAAGAGCTGTTGGAATTTAGAAGGGCCAAAATGACCTAAATTCAAGTCTAATTTCATTGCTAAGGCTTTTAAGCATCAGTGTGCCCTTATATCATCATAAATCTCTGGTCTTTGTAGATAAAAGTGAGAAACTACCATCTAATTCAATTAACAAAATTCCTGCTGGAATACTACCAAAGGTATACCCAAAGAAAATCAAAGTGCTTTCCACAATTGTCATTCTTTCTTCTATAATTTTTTAAAAAATTGAATTTCAGCCCTCTTCAGGGCACACAATTATTGGCACACAGCATGTCTATATCTGGTCAATGAGGATGAGTAAATAAGGTGAACACTATCAAAAACATAAAAACTAAAAAAAAATGGAACTGTTCCTTGACGTATTACTGGGAAAAAAGCAAGAAGAAAAATTAACTGAATACACGGGAAAACTAACAATTGTTTTATGGGAAAAAAAGATTTGTCAAAAAAAAAAGATCACCTTAAATTCTACTTTCAAACAAGAAAAAGGCATTTAGAATATCTTTCTTCCAAATGCATAACTAGACTAAAGTCTTCAGTCATGAAAAACATTCTGAATCTCAAATGATTCTAAATTCAGTTAAAGAAGCAGTAAAAACTGGTACATTTATTTTAAAAGACAAAAAAAAATCACTATGAAGCGTACRTAGAGAAGAAAAAATAAAAAAAGATAAAAAATAAAGTTACTGATATTCCTAACATAACAGTAAAAGTAACTGAGGCATTCTTCCATAACTGAAACTGCCAAGCATCTTAGGTACATGACAAGGCAAGATGTGTGGGAAAAGTCTCACTTTTGGAATCAGACCTGAGTTCCAGCAAAGGTTCTACTGATCAGCAGATTGGATTTCCTCACCTGGCCAATGAAAATACTACTGATTTCAGGATTTATCACTCAAATTTAAACTTTAATTCAATTTTAATTTTAAAATGTGAACTCAAAAAGTCAAAATATTTATTTAAATTGCTCTCCTTTCTGATATTTAAATAAGGCCTCTGGTAAGACATTTGTTATCCCAAATTTGAACAGAAGTCCCTTTGGAAACCTGAGGATAACTAAGCACATTTCTTTGTAGGGGAACTACATATTTAATCACCCAATTGTTTTCAGCGTCAAAGGTTTCCAAACMCCTTACGCCTTGGAGCTGGAATTCAAGTTAAACAGACCTGATAATACAAGAGAACCATTTAAAACTTTAAAGGGAAAATAAAAGAACACTGAACACATTTTACTGTGAAACAAATCTTAATCACTGAAAACTGCAGAGTATTAGCATGTATTCCACTGAAACCTACCCTCATCACTTAAAGTTCTGTTTCTTTACCCTACCCTAGCTGTACCCCACCTCAAAAAAAAAAAAAAAACACCTATCACTTCAATGGTAAACTCCATTATCATTTCTTTATTGTGTTAATTTTGCATTAAGGCTCATTTTAAAAGCAGTATTACTTTCATTCTGCCTTAGTATGGAAAATCCCAGAAATCTTTGGGCTGGAGCTACAAAATATCTCCAAACAGGTCCAAGGCCAAGAATAAAAATTGGAAACAATCACTTTGTTCCCAGACATCGCAAAGCCTAGAGTTACCCATGAGACCCGCCTGGCAGGTCCCCCATCTTTCCACATTCGCACACACTCAAAACCATGGTACTGTCACCACCCCCTAGCCAACCCAGGCCCCAAAAGGCTCAACAGCGAGTGGTTTTTTTTTCTTAAAGAGGCCAAAACCCAAAAAGCGGAAATGCCCTGATTCTGTAATACATTCATCCATCCATCCAGACCCCCAAATTAGATGGGGACTCAAGACGGCTGCTGCTGCTGCTGCTGCTGCAGCCAGGCTCGCTTCCCTCCCGGTGCAACAGTGCCTGGGAGGGGCCTCCGCTCCCTTCACAGAAGCAGCTGCGCCCCGCTTATCCCCACTGCGCATTCGGCCATCCAGCTCTCGCCATTGTTTCTGCCCAGAACAGACAGATACCGCCTCCGCAAGGACCGGAACGAAGAAAGGAGGCCCAAGTCCTCGGATGCGCCGCTTTTAGTTGCCACCCCAACCGGCCTGCGTATCCCACTCCTAAAGGGCACCTCCCCCGAAGTTTGGTAGAAACTAAAACCTAGATTCGAGGAGGAGAGACGGAATTGTGGAGGTGGAAGGAATAGGTTTCCCCCGACACAGTAATCAAGAACATCTGCTTAATAGGAGCGTTCGAAGATTTGGCAAGATTCGCAAAAGAAACACAATTTAAACGTAAAGCACCATTTACTCATTTGGATCGGCTGCACTGGGTTAACGCAAGGGCGCAGGAGTCGGAACCTCACTCCGGACCACACGGGGCCCAAAGACACGCCACGACTCTGCGCGCGATCCCCTGCACCACGGCGAGGGAACCAGCTCTCCTCCCCTCGGCGCCCTCTCCCGCGCCACGAGCCGCCCTCACCTCCATCTCGGCGTCCGCGGGGCCGGCGCCGGCTGCAGAGGGAGCCGCCTGGGCCGCGCCGCCCTCGGGGCCGCCTTTGTTGCTGCTGCTGCTGCTCCCGCTGCTGGCGGCAGAGGCTGCGGACTTGGAAGGCGCGCTCTCGGGAGGCGGGGGTGGCGGAGGCTCGGCCGCGGACGACATGATGTTCTGTCTGCGTCACCCGCTGCTGCCAGAGGCCTGGCCGGCAGGGATGGAGGAGGCGGCCTAGGCGCGGGTGGCTACGTCGCAACGGACTGATGGAGCAGCAAGAGGCCCACCCGGAACCTCGCCCGCGCCGCGACTCCGCGACGGGCCTGAGCCGGGCCCAGCAGCTTCCCTTTCCTCGGCGACCTCTTCCGCGGGGCTCTGGGTTCGACCGGCGCTTACCTCACGGCGGGAATCACGTCGACGAGGGTGGGCGGGGCCACCCAGGTCACTGAGGTCAGAGAGGGCGGGCTGACTTAGAGGAAGGCGGAGGGCTCGGGGAGAGGGAAAGGAAAGCGAAAGAGAGACTGAGGCTGGGAACTCGCTTCACCTCCTCCTCTTCTTCCTCTGATAGATATCATCTACCTCGCTAGCATCCCAGACAACTACCTACGCCACCGACTTTCAACCCTCGCGAGATTGCTAGTTAGCTCATTGGCTGATCCCAAGCGCGCATGCGCATTCTCTTCACATTTGGCCACGCCCCCTTAGGACCTCTAGCGGGCTCTAGAGCGAAGGGTAGGAGGGGCCTGGAGGGAACGCTCAGAGACGTAGGTTGTGCGTCGGRACCTTGGCGTGACGCGAGCGTCGTAGTAGGCGCTTTCTTAACGGTTTGCTGTCTGCCGCCGCGCGTCTTAGGGGCTAATCTGGGGTCCTCGGAACTAGTTGACACCTTTACTAAGTTCTGCGCTTCCTAAATTTAGAGGCTTCTGTTGGCCTTCCCACTTCCGCCGCCTTCACCATAAGGCGTGACGTTTTGGTTATCCCAAGTGACGTCTCCCTTTTTTTGTTGTGTAAGAAAAAAAAATCCGTTTAAAGAGGGAACGCGCGTGTGTGTTGTGTGTTTTAAGTCTGTGCATTTACATCTACTGCAAATCATTTCTAAATACCTTCTGCCCCTTAGGTACAAAGTAATATGATGTTTCCAATGAATTTATCTGCTGGAAGTTGAACAGATAAGCTAATGTGCACACTACCCAGTAAGGGAGAAACATGCATATCAACAGATGAGAAAGACAGGTGATAGGATGTATTTTTTTTTTCAAGTAACAAACATAAAAGTGCACATTCTTCTCCAGAAAAATGTTAGCAAGTCAGGTGTAGTGGAACATGCATGTAGTCCCAAGGAATGGAAGGCCAAGGCAGGAGGATGGGAAATGCCAGGCCAGCCTCAGTAATTTMGGGAGACCCTGTCTCAAAAAGGTCTGGGGATGTGGCTYARTGGTGAAGCTGTCCGTGGGTTCAAGCCCCAGCCACACACACACCACACATTGTGTTGGGTTTGATAACAAATCTRCATATTACAGTAGACAATCCGCACACCCTTCCCTACTCATAAGGTCTTTTTGTCTTATCCTCCCATGTCCAGTATTATATCAATATTTGTTGAATAAAAAAGACATTTTCAAAAGTTGAGGGTTGAGCCAACTTAGTTATGTTAARTTTCAAACAGAAGGAATCTCCTTTGAATATATAGCCTGCAAAATTTTTAAGTAATTGAATTCTTTGATCAGACTTGAGATTTGGAAGCTGGTGTGGTGACTCTGTTGTCCCAGCTACTGGGAAGGCTGAGGCAGGAACATCACAAATTGAAAGCCAGTCCCAGCAATTTAGCAAGGCACTCCTTCCCAAAATAAAAAAATAAAAAGGATCACAGTTGGAGCTCASTGGCAGAGTGCCCCTAGGTTAAATAACTAGTATCACAAGGAAGAAAAATATGAATAATGAAAGAATTAAGATAAGGAGAAATGCACCCCCCCACCCCATTAGAAATGCTGTTTCTGAGATTGTTTACAAATGCCTATGTATAACATATAGAAATAAATAAGTTTATAAACATCTTCGTATAATAAATAACCATCTTCATATGTACTTGCAAAAACCTGACAAAAATGCTTGAGATTCCAACATATAATCCTAAAACTATTGCCCAACCATAAAATCAACTATTTACCTCTAACAACCATTAATACAGAAAAAAGTTTATTATGAAGTGTTACCTGAAAAAGGATTTTAGCAATTCGAAAATGTGTAAAAGTTTCCAATTCTATTTATATAAAAGTATTGAAAATGAATGTTGTTGGTATGTATATCCTACTTTTGGTCTCCATTTCTTTTTCTGAAATAAATTTTCATAYTGTATTGGGAAAACTTTTGAAAATTTTTTCCAGGTTTATTGAGATATAATTGACAAAAAATATATAGACTTGAGGGTGTAACTCAATGGCAGAGMACTCTTGCCTCACATGCAAGAGACCATGAGTAAAATCCCCAGCACTGCAAAAGATAAAATTATATAAATTTAAGGTGCATAATGTGATGTTTTTATACACAGATATACTGTGAAATGATTACCTCAACCAAGCTAATTAATGTCCCTCACCTCTCATCGGTAACTTTCATGGGGTGGAAGGATGAATATTTAAGATCTACTCCTAGCAAAATTTCAAATACACAGTATTTATTATTAACTACACTAACAATACTGTAAGGTACTTGCTTAGCATCTGGAYGGCCAACTTAAGTGACCACCTCCATTTTAAAATCAATATTCAAAAGTTAGAAGGAATATGTCCAGATTAAATGGCATGCTTCTAAATAGTCCACAGGTCAAAGAAGAAGTCTCAAGAGAATTCAAACTAACACATTGAATGGAATGAAAATACAATACATCAAAATTTGTAGAACACAGTTAATACGCTGCTTAAACAGGAAATAGCACCAAATCTTACATTTTAAAAAAGACTTAAATCTAAGCTTCCACCTCAAAAACCTAGGGAAAAAAAAAGAGCAAAAATAAACACAAAGTAAGTAGAAGGAAGGAAAGAATAAATACAAGAGTAGAAATCAATGAAATTAAAAATAGAGAAAATAAAATGTAACAAAGAACTAGCTATTCGAAATAAAATAAACTGACAAACCTCTAGACAAACCTCTAAAAAGACAGAAAAGAAGACATAAATCACCATTATCAGTAATGAAATAGGACCCATCACTATAGACCCTGAGAACATCAAAAGAATAATAAAGGAATGTTGCAAACATAAATTTAGCAACTTAATATACTACTTCCTTGAAAAATACAAGCTACTATAACTCAGACAATATTAGATTATGTGATTRGCATTATAATTACATAATGTAACTTTAAAAACTCCCCAAAAGAAATATCCAAGCATAGATAACTCAATGGAGAATTCCAACAAATATTTAAAGAAACATTAATGTCAATTCTACACAATCTCCTACAGTACATCAAAGAGGAAAGTATATTTCCCAGTTCATTTTATGAGGTTAACATAACTCTGATACCAAATGAAAGACAATACAAAAAAAAAGAATGAAATAAAATGGCAGACCAATATCACCAATGATTATAGGTGTAGAAATCCTTAATAAAATATTAGCAGATACAAGTAAGCAATATAAAAATAGACTTAAACACCCTGGCCAGATAATATTTAATCCATAAATATAAGGCTGGTTTAGTATCTGATAATTGGTCAATATTATTGACCATATTAACAAGTTAGAGAAAAAAGTCATATGATTATATCAATTGATGTATCAAAAAAAAAAGTATTTGACAAAAGCTCAATAACTATTCCTGATAAATATTCTTGGACAAAAAAAAAAAAAAAAGAATAGGAACTTACTCTACTTAAAGATCATCTACAAAATACCTACAGCTAGCCAGTCATGATGGTTCATGCCTATAATCCCAGTTACTCAGGAGGCTGAGACAGGTGGATCACAAATTCAAGGCTAGCCTAGATAACTTGATGAGACCCTTTCTCAAAATGAAAGTCTTGGCATTTAGCTTAGAGGTAAGGTATTTGTCTACATGCGCGAGTCCTTAGGTTTGAACCTCAGTACCACCAAAAAAAAAAAAAAAAGATAAAACTTACATCTAACATGATGCTTAATGAGGTAATATTTTCCCTTTAACAACACAAATTGGTGAGGCTATCTGCTCACATCATACATATTCAGCACAGTCCCTGAAAGAAATAGCAAAACTATCCTTRTTTGCATATGATGTAATCATCTCCATAGGAAAATCTCAGTAAATCTACAAAAATTCCCATAGCTACAAATAAGATCTGCAAAGTTTTATTATATAAGAAAAATGAACAAAAATCAATTGTATGGACTGTAGATGTAGCTCAGTGGTAAAGCACTGGCCTAGCATGTGTGAGGCCCTAGGTTCAAAGCTCAGTGCGCCACACACACACACACACACACACACACACACACACTCAATTGTATTTCCATATACTACCAATGAATACATGACCTCAGAAATTAAATTATCATATCAGTCAGAATTGCTTTACAAAATTAAATACTGCTTGGTAAGATGGCACATGCTTAAACTCAGAAGGCTGCATCAGGAAGATCACTTGAGCCCAGAAGTTTGGGGCCAACCTGAACTACATAGTCAGTCTCAAAAAAAAAAATATATATATATATATATATATGCATAAATGGAACAAAATATATATACATATATATAACTTGAATGCTGAAAACTACACAATACTAGTGAAAGAAATAAAAGACAATCTAAATAAAAGGAGAGACATACCATATTCATAGATTGGAAGGTCCAACATAGTAAACAAGTAAATTCTTCCCCAAATTGATATGCAGTTTTAATTCAATTCCAGCAAGATTTCTTAGTTATAAACAAGATTGTTGTAACCTGAAAAGTCAAAGGAACTACAATAGCTTTTAAAATAGGGCAAAATAATAATAATAGAGTAGGAGGAGCTTACCCAATTTCAACACTCATTATATAGCTACAGTAATTAAGARAGTTCAATATTGGTGAAGTAATACATAGATCACAGATATTCAATGGAACATACTAAAAAAAAACCCAGGTAGACTCATGCAAATATATTCCTTTGATTTTTGACAAATGTGCAAAAGTAATTCAACAGAGAAAGAACCATTTTCAACAAATTCTTAAGGAGAAATGGCATGTACACAGTCAGGAAAAAGATGAAAATGAAGACAAAGAAGAAGCTTGCTATAAGTCTCAAACCTAGTATAAAAGTAACCCAAAATTAATAATAATCTGGGCATGGTGGCACACACCTACTATCCAAGCAACTCRGGATGTTTAGTCAGACAGATTGCAAATTTGAGACCCTGTCTTAAAATAAGAAAACAAAAAGACTGGAAAGTATCTCAGTGGTAGAGAACTCCCTGAGTTTAATCTCCTGTACCATCAAAAAATTTTAATAATAGACTTCATTAATAAATAGACTTCAGTAAAACTGAAAATGGTAAAACTTTTACAAAAAGTAACATGGAAGAAAATTCTCAGGACATAGCACTAGACAAAAGRTTCTTTTTTATTTTAACCACCTTATTGAAATGTAACAAATAAAGTTGCATGTCTTTGAGC